TTTTTAATGGTGGTTACCAGATTGGTCAAATCTACCGAACCTGTACAGAGATTTGTTAGTGAAAATAACAAATAATATATAAAGTTTCTTTCTTAAGACACATTTGATAACTATCTGGACATTATAAAGATTTCGCATGTGAAATTTAGTAAACATTACAAGGCTTTCATACACACATCATATCAGATTTTTTAATTAAGTCTTGAGGTTTGTTAAGCAATGTTTTTCTCATGCCTTTTTCTTTTTGTGTGTTGCCTATCCAACATGCAAAGTAAATTTCATTTTAAGATTAAAAATACTTTTATGCATCAGAAAATTTTCACTAAGCGTATGTTCACTAAATTTGTCAGATTATCAATTTAAAAGTTATAGCATGAAAACTATAACATCTACAAAATAAATACAAGCTCAGTCCAAGGGACCGAGCCCGTGCCGAAAGAGTTAATTTGTGATTAAATCGAGCTACTTATATAGGTAAGAACTAAAAATAAACACAGAAATGAACATGGATAATTTAATATAATCCTTATATTCTCTGTTATTATTATTAGAATGCATTGTTTCATGGTCAACATAGTTTTAAACTCGCATACCACAAATAAATTTCAAGTGTTTTACTGAATTTTAATATTAATACCCGTCATTACTTATCATATAATAGTGGAATTAATTGCACTTAACAACACATGTAAGTTTTCTCATTGTTTTAATGAGTTCTTATTATATACTTTACTAAATTGTTAGTCTCTAAGTGATGTAAAAATGTATATTTATTTCTGGGCTACATTTTTCTTTTAATAATCATGTTGATTTATATGATTATATATATATATTTTTTAATTTTCATAACTTTTTTTCTAGGAGTTGTTGGTGTATCTTGCCATGTTTATCCGCACTGAGCCACAACTTTTTCATGAGATGCTGAGAATACGGGTTGGACTTATCATCCAAGTCATGGCATCAGAGCTTGCTAGGTCATTAAATTGTTCAGGTAAGTGCTTTAGTAACTTATTTGTACAAATATCTTGTAGAAATAAATTTTGATTTATATCATTCTGTTGATTAACACATTATCTAAGAATTAAAATATTTAATAATTATATCATGAATGATAGAACTTTCCAAACAGTTCATACTTCTCCTTGATTGATAAACCTGAAGGATAACTAGTGAAATCACAAGTACTGAGGTCAACTTGCCTCATTATATTTTCTAGTAATCTTGTGATAAAGCAATTTATGCTTAGAAACATATATTACTTCTGAATTTAGAGCAATGTAGAATGTTCTCTGGACACTTTGTTGTCGGGATTAACTACCATAGTCATTCATAAAATTGTTTAATACCATGAGCCTATAAGTTGTCTTATAAAAAATCTATTTTTGAAATAAATAAAATGATGATAATTTTAACTTACAGTGATTAAGTTTAGATAACCCTTTTGATACGGGTCATCTCGTTTGTTGACTCATATTCAAAATTTTATTGAACTACTATTTCATGAAATTATGTCAATAAGTTTGGTATCAAACTGTAGATTATAATTCAAATTTTAGAACTATACATTACTCAATTTTTTAATTTAAAAGTAAATATTAAAAACACAGATAAACATCGATTTTTGTGTGTCACGTGGTATGTTGAATGCAGCACTAGTTCAAATTATATGTCTGTAAAGTAAAAATACTGTTTATAGTTTCGTACGAATTAGAAACTCAAATTACCAATATTGACAAGTTAGAATATAAAATAAGAGCCTCTTATCTTTTCAATTTGCTAAGTTATTGCTCATGTAATAACTCAAATACAGTGGCACCCCACCCACCTCTTTCCATTTTTGGAAATGCTCCTTTATATACACTTCTATATATGACATGAATAACCAATCGGAAGCTCAGAATGTCCCCTAGTGGCTTTCTCAGCAATATTAACGGGCTTGAAAACATTTTTTCTTTTGAACCAATATTTCAAAGAGGTAAGGTGTGTTATGTGGTATGTTGAATGTAGCATTGGTTCAAATTGAATGTTTGTGAAGTCAAAATACTAAGTCTATAGTTTCATATGAATTAGAAACCCAAATTACAGATATTGACAAGCTAGAATATAAAATAAGTACCTCCTATCTTTTCTATTTGTTGAGATATTGCTTCATCTACTGAATAAAACAAAGTGTCCCCGACCACCTCTTTCCATTTTCCAGACACTTGATTATGTAAACCTACTTCTGTCTATGACGTGTGAATAACCAATCAAAAGCTCAGAGTGTCCCCCACATGGTTCCCTGAGCCTTTGCAAATTATTTGTGTGGGAAATCCTTTCTTTTCACTCTGGATTCAAAGAAAGTAAGTTGACACTTTAGTGAGCTTGAAAATTTCATATTTTTTCAGACACAAATACAGCTTAGTTACTACGTTTGATAAATTATAGTGGAATTCTATGGTATTGATATAGTAGTTTGTGTATATATAAAAACCTAAACAAATTATTTCATTTCACATCCTCCACATGCAAAATTTGATAAGACTTAGCAACCTATGGCAAGCAGCAAATTAGATGTTTGTGAAGTCAAAATACTAAGTCTGTAGTTTCGAATGAATTAGAAACTCAAATTACCAATATCGACAAGCTAGAATATAAAGTAAGAGCCTCATATCTTTTCTATTTGCTAAGATATTGCTCACGTAATAAATCAAACATAGTGGCACCCTGCTTACCTCCTTCCATTTTTGGAGGGTAGGTTGTGTCTTTAGTCTGCTCAAAATTTCAAATTTTTTTAGACCTAAATACAGCTTAGTTACTACGTTTGATAAATGATAGTAGAATTCTGTGGTATCGATGTAGTAATTTATGATTTTTTTAGTTATTCAAAAGTATATATAAAAACCTAAAAAAAATATTTTGTTTCATGTCTATGTGCAAAATTTTTAAAGGCTTAGCAACCTATGTCAAGCAGCAACCGAGTACAAAGGTCATAACTAAAAGAGATAATTGTTTACTTTACTTCTTTATTTACTGTTCATGTTTTAGGAAAATAACTTTAAGAATTTATTTCAAAATAGCAATAATCTATATACATATATAATGTATGATAATTAGAATGTGACTGTATTTTACAAAATACTACTCGTCTAAAACA